AGGGTTATTTAACTCACATTCACTGAAGGTTTCAATCCATACTCAGCTGGCTCCAAAGCAGACTATTCTGGGAGTAGAGAAATCCAAACCCTCGGAAGGCAGAGGTAGGAGGATCATCATGAATTCAGGCTCAGCGTGGGTTGCATGGTTTCAAATAGCCTTAATTACCTAGAAAGACCTCGGAGCCCGACTGGTCAGGACAGAGGGTCACTGCTGCCCTCGGCTCCAGACAGCTCTCTGCGCAAAGCGGCCTCAGTCGCAGGAGCCGCTGCCCAGCGCTGCAGTGTCCAGAGGAGGGGCCGGGACGCCTCTGCGTTCAGGACGACCAGGTGTCACCTCCTAGAGGCTCTAGGCCAGGGCACGCGCCAGCCAGTGTAACGGTCCCTCTCACTGGTCTTGCGCCCTGGGGCGCTCGCCGTGGCCCTCGAACCTCGCGCTGAGGCTCTAGCCACAGCTGCCTCCTGCCTTCCCCGAGACACTGGAGGACAGCGAGACATGAACCATGACACTCTGCACTCCGGGAACGGGCTGCACTGGGGTCCGCAGGCAGGAGATATCACAGGGGATGGTGGGTCAGGGTGTCCGGTTTTGAACACACAGGTGGGTAAGGGACGTCCAGAAGATTGGGGTGACACGGGAGAAGCAGCGCGCCAAGAAGGGCAGGAAGTGACGTCACTTCCTTGACAACGCCCCAAACAGAACCTGGAAACCCCGAGGCTGTTTGCCCTCAGTGACTGTTGGAGAGACTAAGGAACAAGAGGATGTTCTTGCGTTGTTTCACCAGTTGTATAGGCTCAGGTCGCAAGAAATGGTGGCGCAGGGACCGTGTCCAAATGGGGACTCCCCGAGAAAGCTGCCACCCCCGCGGTCTAGCGGGTATCGAGTCCACGATCACAAAGGTGACAAAGGATAGCCCTGAACAGGGGAGAGTGAGCCAGCCCATGACACTGACCACCCTGGTTTCCTAGATCCTTGTCTGTGTTCTGTGTAGCGTGGTGGGGGGAAGTGGGGATGGGCGGTGAGAAAGGTGGGGACTTCTATCAAGGCTGTTTCATTTGGGAGCTGAGCTCTTTCTTACCCATTACGGTTTCCACGCTTGAGCTCTGCCTTTTGCTGTCAACTCAGGGCACAAATGAGATCGCCCCGAAGGTGGAGGACGCCTGCACTGTGAGGACCTTGGAACCAGGCACACTGGAGAAGCTGGTGAACTACCTGGTGCCTGCCCAGCGCTGCGGAGACCCCTTCTTCGTGCCTGCGTTCCTGGCCACCTACAGGCGGTTCGCCACCACGGGGCAGGTGCTGGATCTGCTGTTCCGCAGGTGTGCCTCACCTCCAAGACAGGGGTCCCATCATCTCCTGAGTGGGTGTTGGGAATTCGGTGCACCCGGCTGCGCCCCAGTGTGCTCTATGGCAACAGGACAGTGCTGAGCACACCGCTCAGATGCTGCAGTCCTAGACTAAGTGGGCTTCGGAGCACCTTCCCCAGGTCCGGTGCTGTGTCTTGTAATCAGCCCGTAATGTGGGGCTTGATGTCCCCAGGGAATGAGCTGTGTGCCTGGGGCCTCACTTTCCTAGGTTCCTGGCTACACTAATCCAGAGTAGTGACCCCTAGGGGCAAACAGTGCAGCCCATACAGTTACACATCTGGGCAGGAGCTGGCTTGCTCTTTCACTGCACAAATGTGTGCAATGCACCTACTATGTGCAGACCACTTTCCTGATATTTCTGTGCCATTCAGGCAGCAGCACAGACAAGCACTCAGCCTCCCCTGAGTCCCTCCTCATCCCGGAATCAGATCATGTCCTAGATATCCTTGTAGGTGGAGACACTGCAGACACTGGGTACTATAAGGTCACATGCTGATGCCTCTTCTAGGTATGAGTTCTTCCACCCCAACAGTGAGGAGGACCAGCAGAGCAAGAGGTGAGTGGGCATGGGGATAAGAGGGAGGATTTCCGTCTCCAGAGTGGGGTTCATCTGAGCACCTAGGCTTTAGTGGAGCAGACAAACCTGTGGGTTACACACCATTCATGGATCCCTGATAGAGGCTCGGGTCTGAGATCAATCGCAGAAGCCGCTGCCCAGCTCCACAGTGCCCGGAGGGGCGGCTGGGGCTGCACCTCATGAGAAAGGAGGATGCAGAGCTGTTGTTGGGATGCTGGGTGTGGGAGGAGCAAAGGGTGCCTGGTGCTCACAGCAGGTGCCCAGTAGGATCAGCACACAGCCTCTTCCCAACACAGCCTCAGCACACAGCCTCTTCCCAACCACAGGAACGCACCTCATGCTGTATGGAGGCAGCTTAGTAACTGTGGAGCACAGACTGTTCAGCCTGGGTCCCTCAGCCCAGTCCAGCAGCTTTGGGGCAGGGGATCTCTGCCAGGCAACCCTGCTTCAGGGTCATTGTCAGACAAACAGATGGGGATAGCTCAGGCCCCTGAACCTTCTGTCTGTGTACTCCTAGTGCTCTGAGCTCCTTCCTGGAGACCTGGTTGCGGCAATACCCACGAGACTTTTGCCAGGGACCAGACCTGGCCTGTGTGAAGCAGCTCCTAACGTATGCATTGATCAACCTTCCAAATTCGGAAATTATCTCTGAAGTGTGCAGACTTCTGAACCAACGTGAAACCCACTAAGTAGGATCCAATCCCAAGGGTGAGGAGGCCAGGGTGGATGCTTGTGCGTGGGGCAGCAGGGTTCATCCTGGGCCCACCTGGAGAGTCTCCATAGGCTGTGTGCTGGCCAGGAGGAAAGAAGAGGCTGGGAGCAGAGTTGGGCGTGCACCCCAGTAGGGATGGAGTGCTGCAGTGCGGCCAGCAGCTGGGGATTCTCTCCCAGGCAGAGGGCTGCTCTGCCTTGGGAAAGAATCAGGGAAGGATCATGGTGGAAGTGTGTTTTCTGCTGCATTTCTCATGCCATCTATGGCCAGAATTGCTCCCCAGGAGCACCCCTCAAGCAAGACCAGAAAAGGGGAAGGGTGGGGTAGCCACTGCTTTAGCTGCAGCTGCAGGATCTGGGGCTACATGGGCAGGAGCATCCCAGCCTGACCATGTGTCTCCCTCTGTACTTCTCTCAGGAGCTGGTCATCTGGCTGCAGGACAGCTCAGGACACAACTTGCAGGGCTCCAATTGTCTTATCCCTAGTTCCTCGCCTGCAAAACTCGTGTGTGTGTGTGTGTGTGTGTGTGTGTGTGTGTTGTGGTTTTTTAATCCTCCTTTTGGTATAAAATTGTATTTATATAAATTTATTTAAGTTAATAAAATGTGATTGCAATAAAATCAAAGTGCTCCTTACTTAAAAATGCACCTACAGGACATTAAATCTTCCCTCTATGGCGCACACCCCACCGCACTGTCCAGATGCAGGACAGAGGCCCCAGCAGTACCCCTGGGTGCTGTGGGCAAGACGCAGATGTCATGTATGGAGGACGCCCTGGTGTGATGGGGACAGGAAAGTAGTGAGAGGGACAGAAAGAGAGATGGTTAAAGGACATGTGCCCCACTGGGTCTTCACCCCCAATACCCAGGACTGGATGAGCACTGGGCAGCACCCTGTGTCCCTTGTGAGCCCCCCTTGTGTCACTTCCTTCCTCTGAGGTGGGACAGCAGTGCACTCCCTGAAGGAGGTAAGGACACACGTAAGGCACTGGCAATGGGAGCTGCCTGCCACCCTGGGGCTGAGCAGTGCGCCTGACAGTCACAGTGGACACAAGTAGAACCGAGGCTGCGAGCAAATACTCAGAAGGGATTTAATTCCAGCAAACAGATGCAAAGCTTTGGCGCATTTCTGAATTGAAGCTGAGCTCCTCACAAGCGGAGCTGAGATGGACTGGCAGAGCATGGCTGTGGGAACTTCACACGTAGGGCTGTGGGGATGGCCTGGCTCTGTCCAAGTGCCCAAGCACTTGAGGACCTCCAAGTACAATGACAGGCCTCATCGCCAAATCACACAGGTAGCTGAGGGTCTGGCCAGATGCCACCTTCATGAGACTGCAAGTGCCATGGAAGGAGCAGAGGCAGACTGCACTTCCAGGAGACCCGTCCACAGGCCAGTGCAAGAGCAAAGGCTTAGTACTGTCTGGAGCACTTGACTGCTTTATCATTTTCATTGATTTCTTCTCCAAGGCGTAATTTAGAACACTTTGTAATTTCAAGTGAGCATATACGGATGTAAGTCATGTGTCACTTAAACCATTCAGACATGTGTTCCATACACAAGACGAAGAAGAGAAAGTGTATTAGAAAGCCTGCTGGGTGGCCCGAGCCTGTCACTGTAGCACTGTGGGAGGCTGAGGCCCAAGGACCTAAGCTTGAGCCTGACCCAGGCAATTCGTGACTTAGTGAGTTCCTGTTTCACAGTTGAAAGGATTGTAAAAAAATTTAAGAAAGATTGAGAATGTATGTCAGGGTCCTCAAACCAAAACTGTTTTAGAGAGAAGCATAAAATATGCCCTGCCTTATTTCTGGGATCTTAACATCATTCAAGGTATAAATCACTCTTGTTTTTAAAAACCACAAGCAACCACGTTAGGAAAATTAGAGAAAGAAAGGCTTCTCATTTTAGATCGGCAACTACCACAAAACTGCTGCCTTAGTATGTCAGACTAAGCTTGAAATACCTGAGCACTAGTATGACAAATGGTGGCCTGGGAGTTTCCAAGGGCTGGATTCTCGGGACAACTCTATCTCTTTTTCATCATTTCAGCTTGATCTGCGGGTCCCAACCTCTCAACCAAGTTCACCTTGTTGGAAATTAACTTTTTAATCTTCAAAAAAAAGGTGAAAGAATTTACTGTTATTTTTCTTTTATTCTTCAATGTCTCTGGAATGATTATTCCCATTGTTGACGAAGACTGCACACTACATAATGCTGTGTGCTCTGCACCACAGAATGATTGGTTCTTCACCACTTTCCGTGGTACCACTACATGCTCTTATGTCAGAATTGTTTTTTCACATTAGAAATTTTATGCGGGGCTGGGATGGGCCCTCTCAGGGGCTTGTCATAGGTCCTATTTTATAAGAATGCTAAAAATTTTAAGTTCCATGTGTGTTGGTTTTCACCTACAAGAAAAATCTGGACACATTTGAGAATTTTTGACTTGTACTCAAGGACTCCCCCTTCACATACCTCCCCATATGGTCACATACTGGAGTTGGCCCTTCTCTATGTACCCTACTCCTCCAGGGCTTATTTTCACCTGAGTGTGAACTATTTCTAGCAGTCTATTTTGAAGACTCAATATCAGAGTCCAGGGCTCTGAGGATTTCTCGTTCTCATGTTAGAGACTCCCCTGGTCACCTAGATCTAGTCCTGGTGGAGACATCACACCACTGAGCACTGGCAGTGCTTAGGGCTTGTCCTTCAGGTCCTCAGTTTTTCCAGGGAGCAAACAGAGATCCTGACCTTGGGCCCAGGTCAGACCCAGGATTCCTAGTAAACCAGAGGACTATAAGTGTGAGGCCAGCGACTGACTGAGAACAACTCTGAAAATAAAATTTAAGACATGTCTGAGGGCATGTTTTACTGCTTCCTGGAACCCATGCCAATACAGCATTAAATGAAACCTACCTACAATCAATTGCTCACTGTCCTAAATGCAAGGCTGTGAAATATGGCATTTAATCGTGATTGTCGATTTGACTGGATCAAGAGCCTCCTGGAATTGTGATCGATTGGGAGATTGCTAATCTTATCTAGGGGTAGCCCTGTGCAGAATTATACAAGCAGAGATCTACTAGGCAGAGGGTCCTAGCTGGAGGAAGAGAGTCATGGATGGTGGCACGGGGATTATATCTGGTCCCAGGACCCTTCCTGTCAGTTTCCTCCTGGCAACTCTGCTTCCTTGATGCCATTGAGCAGCTATCCTCTGCATCATCCTTCAGCCATGATATGTCCTTTTGGGAGCCAGCCTAGCATGGATGAAAACCTGGAAACCAAAAGCAAGCATAAACCTTTTATTCCTTAGGGTGTGGGTATGAAGTGTTTCACCCCTAAGAGGAAAGGTGCAAAAATGGTACCATTTTCTTACAATGCCTTATTAATGCTGAGCGTCTCTTCCTGAGCAGACAACACTACGTATTACAACACATTCTATGAAATTCCTATTACTTTTTTAAATGAAAGTCTGTATCACTTGTCATTTTTTCTGTTTTAATTGTAATTTACACTATCTTTAAAAAGTAAAAAAATAGATATTCAAAAAAAGAAGATGGGAATTCTTACCATCCCATTTTCTCATTTATAGTTTTCACTTTCGTCAATAAAGAATGACAGTGGAGCGATGCCAGGGTCTGTGGTGATAGAGCAGTGTTTTGTGGAACTGGACTCACCACCTTGATTGACTTTGTATCTGAGCTCCTGCCTCTCACTTGAGCTGCTGCTCCTTCTACTCAGGGCTGGCTGCGCTATGCAGGGCACCTTGATTCACTTGAACACCAGGGAGGGGCTTCATCAATCACAGTTCAAGAACCATACAGAACCTGGTGGTCACCACCTCTGCAGCCATGGCTGGTGCTGGCTGGTGGCTGTCACCAGCTCTGGGTGCACCTGTTGCAGCTCCCTCTTTGTCCCCCTGTGCTCCACTGCTGATGGAGTTCCTAGTGCAGGAGCTGCTTGTGCCCTCTAAACTTCTGGAGCCAGACATGTGCATATTGGTGGCAGGGACCTTGCTTGTGGCCTGGGCTAGTGGCCAAGCTGGGCATGATGCCCAGGAAGATGTGCTGCTTATTCTTTCTAGGACGAAAGCCCCACTGATTCCCCCCAGATCAAAGCACACAGCCTTCAATGCCCCCACCCTGAACCCCAAAGGCTCAGGCAGCAGTGCACCACTGAATCCAGCCACATACGATTCAAAACAGCTTTCCTTTTTGTCTCTCCCATTTTTTCTTTCTTATTTGATTGAGCAAAGCTGGAAACTTTAAATGGTATCGCTGGGACTTTTGATTTCTCCTTTGCATGCTAAGGACTTGCTATTATAATTGTCCTAAGAGACAGTCTTGTCAACATGCCTCTAACAAAAACTGAGAAAAGAATATTAAATACAGAATCAATCATGATAAAAACACACACACATATATATATATATATATATATATATATATATATATATATAGCAATTAGTTTTTCCATGCTTATAGCTTTTAATTTGGCTTTTCAAAGCCAGCTTCTATTTTTCCCATTCTCTTTGATTTTATTTAAGGTCAAGAGATCTCCGTGCCCCAAATTTGACACCTGAGAATTGCCAATACTAACACAGTCCTGTGCTGCATTTTGATGCTAACAAACACGCTTCTCCCCTGTTGCTCACCAATGACAAGTGTCCCCTCATGCAGATTTCCTCACTTGAGTCCGTGCTCATGAGCCAATTGCTGCATCTTGTGCAGCTCTACACGTTTCCAGGGAAATAGGCAAGAGGATTTAGAAATGAAGAGATGAAATGCTTCGAGGAAAGAGGCGCTCCCATGAAGGGGCCATTTGGAGGCCTAGGTGAGTCCAGGGACACAGCTGGCAGGAAGGAATCAGTGTCTCAAAGAACGCCGACTTGTGTGAACGCAGGAATGCAGCAGGAAGAACCTATACTGGACATTTAAGACAGCCATTTTCTGAGACCTCTGAGGGCTGAGATCCCAAAAGACAAAGGAAGACACTGGGTATTGACCTTGAAGATGGAAATCTCAGAAGAAAGCCCAGCCTCAAAAAGACAAAGTCACTTGGCTGGGACCTGGAACCAATCCAAGACTGATGGGGGGCCTCTGAGCCCCCGGACCTGTGTCTCGCTGAGGTGGAGTTGCTCCCAAGGAGCCCTTGAAGCGGGGCAGTCACCTGGCACTGCATAAAGCCAGATGCAGTGGCAGCTCTGAAGGAAAGGACTCAGCCCCTCACATCTGAGCCCTGAGCATACACACATGAGCACAGGCTATCAAGTGCTGGAGGATGCTGGCCATAGCAGTGGTCTTTGAAAGCCGAGAGACCTTGCTCTTCCTCTTTTGTTAGGCAGCCTCCTCTCTGACCTTCTGCAGTGCATCTAGGTAAGCCTGGTGCTGGCAGAAGACGATCTGCTCCCCCTAGAGGCGAATGCGGTCACCTACTCTGTGGCTTCCTTC